CAAAGAGGACATTTAAATGGACAAAAAACACATGAAGAAGGTATCAACTTCATTAGTTAACAAACTGAAGTCACAATGGATAGATATTATTACTATAAACTCTCCTGGATGGCTACAATGAAGGAGGAAGAAAAACGGAACTCTCCTACACTACTCGTGGGAGTGTGCATTGCTACAACTACTCTGGGAAAATTTGCTGTTTTTCCATTAAAGCTGAACATGCACATGCCCTATTATCCCACAATTCCACTCCTAGGTATACAGCAGCAGAAATATATATAGCAGAAATCTGTAAATATATTCACCCAAACACAGGCATAGGAATGCTTAGAGCACTGTCATTTGTGTTAGCCAAAAACTGGAAATAATGCAAATATCCATTAAAATTAGGAAATGGATAAATAAATTATGGTATGTTCATACATTAGGACACTACACAACAATGAGAACAATTTACAATTACATTCAATGTTATGAGTAAATTTCACAAACATAGTATTTGTGTGTCATCCTTGTGCAGGGGCCACGCTAATCTCCTCTGTATCATTCCAATTTTAGTATGTGTGCTGCCGAAGCAAGCACCACAAACATAGTATTAAGTGAAATAAGCCACATATAAAAAGAATCTATTTCCGGGTGCCTGGGTGGCTCAGTCGGTTAAGAGACCGACTTTGGGTCAGGTTATGATCTCATGGCTCTGTGAGTTTGAGCCCTGCATAGGGCTCTGTGCTGACAGCTCAGAGCCTGGAGCCCGCTTCAGATTCTGTGTCTCCCTCTCTCTCTGCCCCTCCCCTGCTCAAGTTCTGTCTCTCTCTCAAAAATAAATAAACACAAAAAAAATCTATTCCGGGGCGCCTGGGTGGCTCGGTCGGTTGAACGTCCAACTTCAGCTCAGGTCATGATCTCGCTCAGTTCGTGAGTTCAACTGACATCAACTGATTGGTCCTACCCTCAACGACCCCCCCACCACACACACACCACAAAAACGTAATTCTCGCTCCGACTTGTGTCCCTTCTCAACTTCCCTATTTTCTTTTTCTTTTTCTGTTTTTAAATTTTTTCTTTTACGTTTATTTATTTTTGAGACAGAGAAAGACAGAGTATGAATGGGGGAGGGTCAGAGAGAGGGAGACACAGAATCTGAAACAGGCTCCAGGCTCTGAGCTGTCAGCACAGAGCCTGACGCGGGGCTTGAACTCACTGACCATGAGATCATGACCTGAGCCGAAGTCGGCCGCTTAACCGACTGAGCCACCCAGGTGCCCCTTCTTTTTCTGTTTTTTAAGTAAGCTCTATACCCAACATGGGGCTTGAGTTCAAGTAGTGTTGAACTCACTACCCTGAGACCAACAGCCGCATGCTCCACTGACTGAGCACTCCCATCAACTTACCCAACAGTACCCACTACTACCGGTTCATTCTCTTAGTCTGCCAAGTTCAAAACTTTAAGGGTTAATTTTTACTCTCTCCTTTTTGCCTCATGGCCAACCAGTCACTACTGGGATTTTGTCCTTTGGATGGTCTCTTCTATTATTCCTTTTATCCATCCCCACTGTAATTATGAAGGTCTGAGAACTTCTGCTTATATTATTGCAATAACCTCCTTATTGATGCCATTATCTCCAGACTCTTTCCCTACTCCACTTACCTGTCAGATTATAAAAATTAACACAGTGATAGTAATGTTAATTTAATAAAATGTTGTTCACTCTTTTCTATAAGAATATAAAGGCTTCCCACCGTTCGTGGACTCAAGTCCAAACTCTTTCTTTAGACTAGAGCTCAAATTGCTTCATTAACTACTCCACTCCCCACATAGAACACATCACCCACAATTTGTTTGCATACCCAAATCAAGACATTTTTGCTCTCCCTTGTACAGGCACCAGATCAGCATGATACTATGTCTTTGCTAATATTATGTTCATTGTTTAAAGTACTCACTCTACTCCTGTCCCATTTGGTTACCAGCCACCATTCCTAGTGAAGGTTTCCATAATAAACCATAGGTCTTAATATAAGGACTTTTCCCTTCTTTTGAAATTTCTATAACTTTCTATTCAAGGTAGTACAGAATAAACTGTGAAGTAGATAAAATTTGTCTTCAAATCCACCGTTTTCTCTTTTTAGTACTTATTTTATTAAGAAATTCTTAATTTATTAAGAAATTTTCAAACATACCCCAAAATAGAAAAAAGGGTATAATGAACTCCATATACACATCATTAAAATTTAAAAATTTTCAAGAGTTTGGCCACAATTTTTATCTATCATCTCTTCCCTTGTTTCTTTCCTGAAGTATTTTAAAGCACATCTCAGACCTTATTTAATTTAATACACCATACTTCTGTATGCATCTCTAAAAATTATGGAAATTTTCTTACATTACCACACTGCCATCAACACATTTATTTTTTTATTTTTTTAATGTTTATTTTTGAGAGAGAGAGAGAGAGAGAGAGAGAGAGAGAGAGAACGAGTAGGGGAGGGGCAGAGAGAGAGGGAGACACAGAATCTAAAGCAGGCTCCAGGCTCTGAGCTGTCAGCACAGAGCCCGACATGGGGCTGGAACTCATGAACCATGCATGAAATCATGACCTGAGCCAAAGTAGGACATTTAACCAACTGAGGCACCCAGGTGCCCTGCCATCAACACATTTAATAAAATGAATAATAATTTGTTGGTATTATCTAATGATCAGTCCATATTCAAATTTTGCTGGTTATCTCTAAAATGTTTTACACTTGGTTTGTTGGAATCAGAATCCAAACAAAATCCATTGTTATACTGGCAATTAGTCTCTAAAATCTCTTCTAACTTTCAGCAGTCCCCCTTTCCCACCTTCTTCACCCCATGCCACCACTCAGTTGTTGCAGAAACAAGATAATTTGTCCCATAGAATGTCCCACACTTTGCGTTTTTCTGTTTGCCTCCCTGTGATGTCATCTGACTTGTTCCTATAAATGGAAGTTAGTTCTAAAAGTTTGGTTATAGGTTTAGCACAGCTGTTTCTGATGCACTTTCATAGGTGATGCTGTGTGCTTCCTATCAGATCACATCACAGGGTCACAGGGTCTGATTGTCCCACTTTTAGTGATGCTAATATTGAACAGTGAGTTCACTTAGTAATAGCTGAATCCTTTCATTTAAAAATTCCCCAATAGGGGTGCCTGGGTAGCTCAGTTGGTTAAGCATCTGACTTTGACTCAGGTCATGATCTTAAGGTTCATGAGTTGGAGCCCTGCATGGGGCTCTGTGCTGACAGCTCAGAGCCTGGAGCCTGCTTCAGATTCTGTGTCCCTCTCTCTCTGCCCCTCCCCTGCTTGCATACACTCTCTCTCTCAAAAATAAACATTTTAAAAATTCCCCATCAATATTTTTATCAGAGTTGTTATCCACTGATGACCTTTGCTTGAATAAATTACTTCATTAGGGGATGCAAGGGTAATTTTTCTAATTCTATTACTTCCATATTCACTAGTTGATATTACTCTATAAAACTCTATAAAACAATGATTTTCCCTAATTAATTTGGGTCATTTGGTTACCTTGAAATATAGTTTATACAGGAAATGCAGGACAAATGCTCAAATCTTTATCTGATTGCCAATGTGTAGAGTATGGAATTGCTGCCCTAGTTACTTCCAGTGGTGCAATGGTATCAGATGTTATTTTTAATTCACTTTTTTCCTATTTTTATTTTTCCTTTGTGGAATATCTTTATAAACTCATGGGTTTATATCATTAAATTTTTTTATTATAAATATGGTATAAATACAAAAATAAATAAAACATAATTTTATAGCATAACAAATAATTATAAAGTGAATATCTAGCTTTTATAACTCCTTTGCCTCCCTCCTCCCTATCAAAATCATCTCTCAGGAAAGTAGCTGAATTTTAAAATAATTTTAAATTAATATGTCCTTTTGCAGATTTTGAAGTATAAGATTTACTTCCATTATGGAATTAAAGCAGCCACATTAAGGATATGGGATCTTCATCTTAAAACTAATCGGCAGCCATTGATCTGCTTTAAGCAATGGTGTGACATGATCTGTATTATGTTACATGATCTGTATGATATGTATGATAATAAGATCACTCTGGCTGTTGTGTGAAGACTGAACTGGGTGGGGTTAGGAGTATATGCAAAGAAAATCTAGAAGGGCACTGCAGTTGTCCAGGCAAAAGATGATGTACTTACTAGAGTGAAGGCAATAGAGATGGAAGAAAAGAATAAGATCTGAGAGAGATTTAGGAAGTAAACTTGATAGGACTTAGTGATCGATTCTATGCTGGTCAGAAAAAGAGAGGGAGCTATCAAGAGTAATTCTTCTTTCTGATTTGAGAAATCAGATATATGCTGCTCCATTTACTGAGCAAGAGAACCTTGTAGAAGGTGCATGTTTATGGGAAGGTAACTAGTTCAACTGGGGATACCTGTGAGAAACCCAGCCTAAGACTGGAAGTTTACTACACAATCTGAAACTAAGAAGAATTGTTAAGAAGTGATGGGCATATGGGGCGCCTGGGTGGCTCAGTCGGTTAAGCATCTGACTTGGGCTCACTCAGGTCATGATCTCACGGCTTGTGAGTTTGAGTCCTGCGTCGGGCTCTGTGCTGACAGCTCAGAGCCTGGAGCCTCTTCAGATTCTGTGTCTCTCTGCCCCTCCCCCACTCACACTCTGTCTCTCTGTCTCTCAAAAGTAAACATTAAAAAAATTTTTTTAAAAAGAAGTGATGGACATATACAAAGGATTTGCAGCCTTGGAAATGAAAGCACTTACCATCTATTAGGAGTGACTAAGATCATATAGAATAAAATGAGTTAAGAGTCTAGGACTGAACTTTGAGAAACTCCAACATTTAAAGACTGGGAGAGGAGGAGGAACCAGCAGAGACAGAGAACAAGCAAACCAAAAATATATAAGAAAGAAACCCAGAAAATGGAGAGTTTTGGGATGCCTCGGTGGCTCAGTCAGTTAAGCATACGGCTCTTGAGTTCAGCTCAGGTCATAAGCTCACGGTTCGTGAGATCAAGCCCCATGTTAGGTTCTGCACTTAGACTGCGGAGTCTGCTTGGGATTCTCTCTCTCCCTCTCTCTCTCTCTGCCCCTTCCTCATTCGTGCTCTCTTGCTCTCTCTCAAAATAAATAAATAAACATTTTAAAAAGGAAAAATACTTATTAAATACCTTTAAATTACTACGCATTATAATAGTTAATTAAAATATGCACAGAAAGAAACCGTTCATTTAATTCAGCAAACGTGTGTAATGGTTAGTGTATGCTTGGCACTTTGCCAGGGACTAAGATTCACATTTTAATGGAGAAAAGACGTAGACACACAAATAATTTAAATTCTACAAATATTATAAAAGAAAAGATGTTTTATGCTAATCTTATTGTGGACAAGAATGAATCCTTAGTAGACAGAATACTTATGCATGTATGTTTATGTAAGTTAAAGAAACTGACAGAAAAAAATAAGAAGCAAACTAGTAAAAAATTTTTCTAATAGTTTGCATGTCATTAAGTCAGATGAGGGAAAAAAGAACAGATTAGTTATTTCCCCTGCTCTCCCATTTATATATTTAAGGTTATCAGTGCTCAAATAATCTATTTCTGACCTAGATCTTATTGTTACTTATACCCAAGGGGAGAAAAAAATCCTCATTTGCATACGGAACAGAATAGCTCTGAGATAGAATTACAAAGAATCACTTGCATGAACACGCCTCTCTTTTGTTTAATCCTCAGTAAGTTGCACAAGGAACTGAGACTATTGGGGAAATGACATATTCCTTTTATACTGTAAGGAAAATAAAATTCAAGACTGTGCCTCTCTCTCCATAAGGAAAGCTTTGCACACTTTACCATGGTCCAGCGGTGTTTCATTTATTTGATTATTAAAATTGTATAAGAAGTACTTTCAATGAGCTACTTATAAATCCTTAGACTGCTCAATGCCATTTAGTTCCTATTTTTATTAAATGTACTTCTGGGTCCAGAACGAAGCATTCAAGTTGTCCTTAATTCTCCTGTCTTTTTACTGAAATAAACATTTATTTGGTAAAGGGACGGAGATAAGATGATGTTGAAGATTGTTTTTCCTATGAAATATGCAAGAAATAGATAAAATAATTTGTGTGTTGGGTTTTATTTTTTCTAGGGAGACGACTGCAGCAAATTTGAACAAGTAAAGCAGAGCTGTGGAAAGCAGGCTAGAAAAATCCATGGCAGCCATTGTCACACCACAACCTGCAGCAGCTGTCTCAAGTCCCTCCCTCCCACGCCTCCTGGGCTTGGCAGCCCAGCAGGAATGAATGGGCTCTGCAGAGCACTGTAAATGGTGCTGCAGACCCCAAAAATCTGTTGCTAAAAACCAAACATAAAAATTACCTGTCAAAATATAAATTTTCAACTTTGGTGGACATAACAAACCTTTTTACCTCTGAAATTTCATTAGCAATGTCAGGTGGTAATCAGTCCAAAGTCTTATTCTGCATAGCCCATCCTTGTTGATAATAGAGTCTTTCTAAATAGCAAAAGAATGTTACTGCAATCCATTTCCTAGGGGTGAAAGCAAAGCCTTTTTGTCTCGAGACGCAATTGAGCAACCACCAGAGTCTAGCTGAATAGCAAGGGTGTGAGGCTGGCTACATTTTCCACAGTTACAAGCCCAATCTCTGAAGAGATTTACTGAATTCACACAAGAACTACCAAAAAAAAAAAAATGCAGTTATTGAGCTGACATGGTTGTCTGTGGATGGAGGCAAAATTACAAAATAGTCTTTTTTACATTGTATACAGCTCTCCTTTTTAATTTGGTATCTTAGTTTTTCTTCCCTTTCCAGAAAAAAAAAAAAAAAAGAAAGAAAGAACAATGCAGAATATTAACTACATGCACAGGTAGTAGCACCAGCTTCTGAACTCAATCCTTTCTCCTTGTATTTTCTCAATTCTATATCAGGAAAGACAATTCATTTTAAGGAACAATACACTACATAAAATATATTACAGGGACTTTTGGTAAAGGAATATTTCTAGGAGACTACTTAACTATGGTATGTTCATTAGATCTTAATTATCATGTTATAACTACTTGTGTGCTTCCATATTTAGTATGGTTTTCTTCCACGTTCCCTTTTTGTTTAGCTCTTTGGGGGAGGAGTGCATAAAAGGTCTTACGATAAATTACTTGAATCTGAAAAACCATTTTGGATGACGCTTATTGAACCTTTTTTATATTAAAAAAATTACATTTACTCAAGCCATGTTAAGCATCATTCCCATCTTCTCTCCTACATTATTTGTAAAGCAATTAGAGATGTTGAAGCCGAATGTAGTGAAATTTAGAATACTCTGAGAGAGGGACTGGGAGTAATTTTCCGTTAAATATTTCATCTCCACACAAATTCTGCGATGTACGTGTTGGGGAAAACCTACATTGGTGATTTTAGCTGTAGTGTGAGGCTTAAGCAATATAAAAACCATACAATTCAAGTTCTCTTTCTTCTCCCCCCCCCCCCCCCCGCCCCAACCCCACCCCATCATGGATGCTCGGCTGACTGTTTTTGCACAGTCTCTTTGTCTGAAGGATGCAAACAGTCTATGGATGCTAGGGAAAAAGGGGTGGGGGAGAGATTACCTCATCCCATGTCGTTTGCACCAATCACCACTCTCCTGTCGTGGCTTCTCCGGGCAGATTGAGGGGTCTGGACCAACAGGAAAAGGCCCCAGCCCATCCCCATGGTGACCGAGTTGTATATAGGGAGCCGCATCCGCCCATGTGCCGCAGGTTCTCTTACATCGACCGCCTAAGAGTCGCGCTGTAAGAAGCAACAACCTCTCCTCCTCTCCGCCATCTGCTCGGCAGCCGCAAAGCAGCAACCATGGTAAGAATCTTCTTTCTCTGGCTCTTTGTGGCCGTTGAGTGGGGTCGGTCCCCCAAGATCTACTTGGAAAGTCTTAAGCTCTCTTTCCTTTACAACTTCTTGGGTAAGGGTAACCTTATGCTTTGTTTGCGAGGTTTGGCTTTGGGGCCCCAAATCCTTGAGTCTGGCCGCCGCCGCAGTGCGGGCTGAGGAACTGCGCCCAGGGCGCAGCAGAACCGTGGGGGAAGAACAAAGGCGGCGCAGAGGGAGTTCTTGTTATATGAGCCCTCCCAAGCTGCAGGCAGCCCATCTGTCGGTGACGAAAGGGTCTGGGCAGGGAAAGGCAGTCGTGGCGTCGCCTGCTCTGTCCCAGTGTCTGTGCGCACGGTTTTCGTGTGACTCGGGGAGGCTCTTTTCTTCCTGGCGTTGTTCCCAGGGGGAGGGAGAGAAGTCCCGAAAGATCCGGGCTCAGTGGGTGTAGCTGGGAAGGGGGGGAGGGGAGAAGGACAGGGACAAAGCGGAGCCTTGGGTTAGTATTAAAAGATCCCTCCACGGTTCGTTGGCAGTTTAGGAAGATACCCGTATATTAACGCGAAAAAAAATGGTTAGTTTCTGTTCGAGCCCTTGGCAGCCGGCGTCAGGGCGGCGCAGGGGCGGAGTTGTTTGTTTCTGCCTTCTCTGGCCTTAAAGCCACTGGGCGGGGTTCCCCCTCACAAAACCTCTGTCATAAGACTTTTAATAAAATGCTTTCATCATTGTGGAACTGTAGGCGTTAAAAGGTTTTTCATTCACTGTTAAAGCTTAGATGAGATATTTTTTCTTAAGATGCAAAATCGCAATTCACTTGACAAGCACCTTAAAGTCTGGTCTGGGGCCGCCCCGCCCTGACTGACTCCGTGTGTGTGTGTGTGTGTGTGTGTGTGTGTGTGTGTGTGTGTGTGAGCGCTAGCCGCACTTTCTGCTGGAGAGAAAGCCTCAGTTTGAGAGCCAAGGTACTCTAAAGCCCAGGATCCAGGGAAACGCCCTTCCCCTCCCCCCCTCCCCCAATATGTCAGTGAGTAGACAATGGACAGACAATGGAAGTTGAAGCCATAAAGACAGTAGAGAAGAAAATCTCTTATTGAACGTGATGAGTATGAATATTCGGTGGTGAGTAGAGAATCTCAAAATGAAAATACTATTTTGTTGTTTTAAATAAATACTTCATTATCCTTTCACTGGGCTTTTATTCTTTGGTAGTTCTCATGTGATATTTTTCTAATTTAGGAACTATTGTTTTAAAGATACTAACAATCTTTCAGTTTTTGCAGTGGAGAAGATTCTGGAAAGACTTCTTTTTAAGTAATGAACATGCTGCAGACAAAGAACTATATTCTGTCCAGCTGTCTTTTGTTCTAGTGCATCTTCATTAATTCATTTCAATTTAGGCATATGGTCCCAGCTTGGGTCAGAGGAGGAAAACTGGCAGAATAGCACAATGAGATCATGTAGGCAGTTTCTGGAAATAGAACTTACTCTGTTAAATAATGTAGCAGACAGAACAGTCTAGTACCAGGCACAGCAAATGCAGCAATGCAGGAGGCAGACCTTATTTAGCTTCCAGTCCCCTAGGACTAATGGATCCTGCAGATAGACTGCAAAGGGGTGTGGCATCTAGCCTCAGCTGCAGCGCAGATGTCCATGTTAAAATTCCAAGTCATATGTACAAGAAACTCTCATCTTTATTTAAAGGGAATGCAGTAGTAATACTGATTCCAATTAACTAATGATTGAATTTAATTTACTGCATCTTACTAAATCTGTGCTTTAAATATTTTTTACATACGAAAAATTTCTCTTCAAGCATGGCTGGGGGAACAATGGGCTTGCACATGTATTGAACAGTGCAACCTTATTCAGACCACACCCATCTGCAGCATTTGGAGCAGGTGCTTTTCCTTAAACATTTCTATCGAGTTAGGGATAATCTCAAGTAAACTTGAAGAGTACCTGTATATGACTAGAAGTATTTTCAGAAATTTACTGAAAATTCAAAATGCTAACACAATCTGATTTTAAATTTTCCTCTTTTCCTTCCCATAGCGTGAATGCATCTCCATCCATGTTGGCCAGGCTGGTGTTCAGATCGGCA